ACGTCAAGTATTAAAAACCATTTGTCTCCATTCACTCCTATCAAACACGCTCACGCATGCCTGCTGGAAGTCGAAGCCCCTCGCACACAAAACCTCCTTTACCCCCTCCCTCCAACCTTTCCTACGCCGACCCCTACCCCGCCTTCCTTCCACTACAGACTGATACACTCTTGAAGTCACTCTGTTTCGCTCCATTCTCTCTACATGTCCGAACCACCTCAACAACCCTTCCTCAGCCCTCTGGACAACAGTTTTGGTAATACCACACCTCCTCCTAACTTCCAAACTACGAATTCTCTCCATTATATTCACACCACACATTGCCCTCAGACATAACATCTCCACTGCCTCCAGCCTTCTCCTCGCTGCAACATTCATCACCCATGCTTCACACCCATATAAGAGCGTTGGTAAAACTATACTCTCATACATTCCCCTCTTTGCTTCCAAGGACAAAGTTCTTTGTCTCCACAGACTCCTAAGTGCACCACTCACCCTTTTCCCCTCATCAATTCTATGATTCACCTCATCTTTCATAGACCCATCCGCTGACACGTCCACTCCCAAATATCTGAATACATTCACCTCCTCCATACTCTCTCCCTCCAATCTGATATCCAATCTTTCATCACCTAATCTTTTGTTATCCTCATAACCTTACTCTTTCCTGTATTCACTTTTAATTTTCTTCTTTTGCACACCCTACCAAATTCATCCACCAATCTCTGCAACTTCTCTTCAGAATCTCCCAAGAGCACAGTGTCATCAGCAAAGAGCAACTGTGACAACTCCCACTTTATGTGTGATTCTTTATCTTTTAACTCCACGCCTCTTGCCAAGACCCTCACATTTACTTCTCTTACAACCCCATCTATAAATATATTAAACAACTACGGTGACATCACACATCCTTGTCTAAGGCCTACTTTTACTGGGAAATAATTTCCCTCTTTCCTAAATACTCTAACTTGATCCTCACTATCCTCGTAAAGACTCTTCACTGCTTTCAGTAACCTACCTCCTACACCATACACCTGCAACATCTGCCACATTGCCCCCCTATCCACCCTGTCATACGCCTTTTCCAAATCCATAATACTGTTCACCATATGTTTCACTGTAAACATCTGGTCCACACACCCCTTACCTTTCCTAAAGCCTCCTTGTTCATCTGCTATCCTATTCTCCGTCTTACTCTTAATTCTTTCAATAATAACTCTACAATACACTTTACCAGGTATACTCAGCAGACTTATCCCCCTATAATTTTTGCACTCTCTTTTGTCCCCTTTGCCTTTATACAAAGGAACTATGCATGCTCTCTGCCAATCCCTAGGTACCTTACCCTCTTCCATACATTTATTAAATAATTGCACCAACCACTCCAAAACTATATCCCCACCTGCTTTTAACATTTCTATCTTTATCCCATCAATCCCGGCCGCCTTACCCCCTTTCATTTTACCTACTGCCTCACGAACTTCCCCCACACTCACAACTGGCTCTTCCTCACTCCTACAAGATGTTATTCCTCCTTGCCCTATACACGAAATCACAGCTTCCCTATCTTCATCAACATTTAACAATTCCTCAATATATATATATATATATATATATATATATATATATATATATATATATATATATATATATATATATATATATATATATATATATATATATATATATATATATATATATATCGTGCCGAATAGGCAGAACTTGCGATCTTGGCTTAAATAGCAACGCTCATCTTGCCATATAGGACAAGTGAAAATTTGTGTATGCAATAATTTCGCCAAATCATTCTGAACCTAACGAAAAAAATATATTTCACTTTGTTTAGTATTAAATTATTGTAAACAAATCTAAAATATATTTAGTTGGGTTAGGCCAAAATAAATTGCTCTTGTTATAATAAGGTTAGGTAAGTTTTATAAGTTCCTTTTGGTGCAAAATTATAAATTTTTACATCAACATTGATGGAAAAAATATATCTTTAAACGTATAAGAGAAAATTTTAGAGACGACTTAATTTTAAATGACTCCTTGCTAATTGACCAGTTTTACATATTCGGCACGACAATATATTATATAATATATTATATAATATATATATAATTATATATATATATATATTATATATATATATATTGTCGCTTGGTGATTTCAACCTAAGGCATACAAAATGGAAGAATGTAGCAAATAATGTTATAGCTGAAACAATCCCCGGAGGTAGCGCAGATGAAAGGTCACACACACATGAGCTACTAAGTCTCTGCGAAAAACACACCTTAAGCCAGCAGATAGTGGAGCCAACAAGACTAGAAAACACACTTGACCTTATCTTCACAAATAATGAGGACCTGATAAGAGACATAAGAATATCAAAAACAACTAATTCCGATCACAATCTAATCGAAGTCCAGACGTACATGCATAGGGGTCCTGATCAGCAGAATGCATGTACCTGTGAAGGTGTTTTCACAAAATACAACTTCAACAACAAGAACATCAACTGGGACCAGGTAAACCATGCCCTAAACGAAACATGTTGGGAAGATGTCTTAAATGACATGGATCCAAACCAGTGCCTTCAAAGGATCAACTTCCTGGTAGCCGAAGCATGTTCTAGGCATATTCCCCTAAGAAAGAAGAAGAGCAGGAGTAAACTGGAGAGAAAAAGACGCTCCCTCTACAGAAGACGACGAAGAGTCACTGAGCTCCTCAGGAGTGCTAGAATCTCTGATACACGAAAGGAGGCGCTGACCAGGGAAGTAGAAACTATCGAACTTAAGCTAAATGACTCTTACAGGAACCAGGAGAGGCAGGAGGAGCTTAAAGTTATTAGTGAAATTGAAAGAAATTCAAAATATTTCTTTTCATATGCCAAAAAACAAGGCAAATACCACATCTAGTATCGGGCCCTTACTCAGACAGGATGGGACTTACACAGATGACAACAAGGAAATGAGTGAAATATTGAAATCCCAGTACGACTCTGTGTTTAGTGAACCACTAATCGGTCTGAGGATCGACGACCCAAATGATTTCTTCATGAATGAGCCTCAAAACTCCATAAATGTATGCCAGATTTCCGACATTACCCTAACTCCGATAGATTTCGAAAAAGCCATTGACAACATGCCTATGCACTCAGCCCCGGGCCCAGACTCGTGGAACTCTGTTTTCATTAAGAACTGCAAGAAACCCCTCTCGCATGCCCTAAGTACACTATGGAGGAGGAGCTTGGACATGGGTGAAATTCCACAGTCACTTAAAACAACGGATATAGCCCCACTCCATAAAGGTGGCAGCAAAGCATTAGCTAAGAACTATAGACCAATAGCTCTGACGTCCCACATCATAAAAATCTTTGAAAGAGTGCTAAGAAGCAGGATTGCAAATCACCTGGATTCCCAAAATCTGCACAATCCAGGGCAACATGGGTTCAGGGCAGGTCGCTCCTGCCTCTCACAACTACTGGATCACTATGACATGGCCTTGGATGCACTGGAAGAAAATCAGAATGCAGATGTAATATACACAGACTTTGCAAAAGCATTTGACAAATGCGATCATGGCGTAATAGCCATAAAATACGTGCTAAAGGAATAACTGGGAAAGTGGGGAGATGGATCTTCAACTTCCTAACAAATCGAACACAAAGAGTAGTGGTCAACAGAGTTACATCGGAGGCTGCCATAGTGAAGAGCTCTGTTCCACAAGGCACAGTACTCGCCCCCATCTTATTCCTTATCCTCATATCAGACATAGACAGAGATATACACCACAGCACCGTATCATCCTTTGCGGATGATACTAGGATCTGCATGAGGCTGTCATCTGCTGAGGACGCGGTTAACCTCCAAGAAGATATAAACAAAGTTTTCCAGTGGGCAACGGTAAACAATATGATGTTCAATGAGGACAAATTCCAACTACTCCGTTATGGAAAACTGGAGGAGATAATAACTAGAACAGAGTATACTACTGACTCCGGCCATACAATAGAGCGGAAAAATAATGTAAGGGACCTGGGAGTAGTAATGTCTGAGGATCTCACTTTCAAGGATCACAACAGTGCCACGATCGCACGTGCAAAGAAAATGATAGGATGATAATGAGAACTTTCAAAACGAGAGATGCCAAGCCTATGATGATCCTTTTCAAATCACTTGTTCTCTCTAGGCTGGAATACTGCTGTACATTAACATCTCCATTCAAAGCAGGTGAAATCGCAGATCTAGAGCGTGTACAGAGATCCTTTACTGCACGTATAACTTCTGTCAAGCACCTTAACTACTGGGAACGCTTGGAAGCACTTGACTTGTACTCGTTGGAACGCAGGAGGGAGAGATATATCATAATCTACACTTGGAAAATCTTGGAAAGAAAGGTCCCAAATCTGCACACAGAAATCACTCCCTACGAAAGTAAAAGACTGGACAGGCGATGCAAAATGCCACAAATAAAAAGTAGGGGCGCCATTGGTACACTAAGGGAAAACACCATAAGTGTCCGGGGCCCAAAACTGTTCAACAGCCTCCCATCAAGCATTAGGGGAATTGCCAGTAAACCCCTGGCTGCCTTCAAGAGAGAGCTGGACAGATACCTAAAGTCAGTGCCGGATCAGCCGGGCTGTGGCTCGTACGTTGGACTGCGTGCGGCCAGCAGTAACAGCCTAGTTGATCAGGCCCTGATCCATCGGGAGGCCTGGTCATGGACCGGGCCGCGGGGGCGTTGATCCCCGGAATAACCTCCAGGTAACCAGGACCCATCACAACGACAAACAAATCACAGAAGCTGTTATCAGATCTAATTAATTTTCTCTAGATTAAATCATCAAATAAACTTGGTCAACTTAGGTCCTTTGTTACAAAGATATTAAGGTTAAACACACACAATACTTATTATAGGCACGGAAATATTCTGAAGGGCTAAGACAAAACTTCAAAGCTATGGATGAAATTCTCTAAATTCTTGTAATGACCAGGAAAGATAAGCAAAGTAATAACTACTCCGCAAACTGCTGACAATCTAGGGAACGCGCCGACAAGAAATTCGAAGAAAATTTGGTTTAGTCTCGGGAATATCTCGGATACTTTTTTTTTTTGTAGGCTGTGGGTTAAACGTTGGCCCACTATGCGACAACACTGATTTCCTGGCGCGTCTACAACCATCAAGTTACCCCAACGGCACTACAATGTTCTTAATATTCCCAACAGTTTTACCCCATTCGCAGAAGAGTTACCATTTATCTTTTCATGTTATTACATGGCGACAAACTAACATGATTTTAAGAAGGAATTATTGAAGGTTTTGCCCATATATTAAAAAGTAAAGGGTGAGTGGCAACTGGCTGGCATGTGGGAAACCAGGGGTGGGATGGGAAGTGTTTCTCTGGGACCAGGGTGGGTCAGTACCGTGTACACACACAACCAGTGAGCATCTGTTTGCAGACACTACTTGACGCTACACATGTTCCGTTTTCATATATATAATGAGATGTTTTTAAACGTCGGATGCGAGAGATTTAAGAAAATTTACGTGTGTAATAAATCTGTTAATATAACTCGATTTTAGTAGTGAGATAACTGATTACTAGGATTATAAAACATGTGCCAGGGAAACAATTGACCATAATATTTTTTGAACTCCAACCAAAAGTGCCGAGTTTTGATCAAAAAACCTTATACTGGAAAGATGAATATGCCTGGTGCCTCTCCACGTGAAGCTGGGGAAGATACGCGTTGCACGTACGTCAACATAGACGTTAAGACGCCAGACTCCAGCAGTGAAGCAGTTGACGTAAACTTCCTGACGGACACCAACGTGTACTACAACCTGCCACCTCCCCTGCCCTCAGCACACAGCCGTGGGACCTCTCTACCTCGCAGGCACCCACCAACTCATCAACACTTCAACAGGGCCTACTGGTCGTGTCCAGCCTCGCCCAAGCTTCCACCTTCTGCAGTAGTGCCACGCAAGGACAATATTCCCTGTACGACCACTGAGATGACAGGGAAGGATGTTCCCTCACCCCCCATCCAACCTCGAGCACCGGAACCCAAGAACAAGGTGTCACACACCCGCTCCTTTGACCTGGATCATCTTTACCAGAACCTAGTCAGAGTTGCTAGCAAGCCTCGTAGTAACTCCTTCAGCATAGACTTGCCCTGGAGACGCAAAAAGAAGACCCAAGACACTACTCCAGATATTAAGGAAGATTCCGGCGAAGATTGGGCTGCTCGAATGTTGCACGATAACGAAGAAATAAATTATAAACCTAACCTGTTGCAGACCAGCAGTCCTCGGTCTATCCCAGATGTACATAGCAACCTGACGACTTGCAGCAGAAGCAGTAGCAGTAGTAGTACTAGTGGTAGCAGCGAGAGTGGTGGTGTGGCAGAGGAGTGTTCAGCAGAGGTGTGCCCTGGCGTGACTTACCTAAGGGAGACGACACGAAAGTGCACAGATGTTCGAGATGAAGACCTCAACTCTTGGTACCACACGGCGGCCACACTGCCTCTCCGCGCCAGCAAGGACACCAGCAGAGGTTCTCTGCAGAGCCTCCAGCAGAGACAGGCACTAGATGTTAATGCTAATTTGGACGAGTGGTTACGCAAAGAACGCTGGCTGGAGAAAAAACGCAACTCTCACAATATTCGACTGGCAGGTAGGCGTCAAGACAAATTTTGTACAGTAGTTTAGTTTGAATATCAGTGGTAAAATATACCGACAAGTTTGTGAATAAGTCAGTATGCAGTTTATGGCACATGGCACATTAGTTTGATAATTTTTTCATTAACACTTAGAACGCCACTATTACAAAGATTTAAATTATAAGTATAGTTTGTTTTTAATGCTGTAATCACACTCCACAGAAATGAGTACAGACGTGTTGGGGGGGGGCTCAAGGGAGGTTCTTTGACGCTGGTGAGGGGCTCTTGATCTAGGGAATTGGAGCTGTGCTCCGGTTCCCTGAATAAAACCTGAATACCTTCCATCCCCCCACATGCGCTATATAATCCTACGGGTTTAGCGCTTCCCATAATTATAATAATAATTGGGGGGGGGGCAGACCCTGCAAACGTCACTCTAGGAGAAGGACCGTGGGGTGAGTATTATATTAAGCATATCACCTGAGGTGCACATCAAATAACTGCTATAGCAAATTCGCCTCTGGCAAATCTAACAATAGCTTTTCGACATCTAAGGAATCATTTACGACGCTATATACCTCAGGTCCATAATGGAGCACCAGTACGGAACCCACACCTGGTCAAGCATATCAGGAAATTTGAGAAAGTGCAGGAGTTTGCAACGAGACTAGTTACGGAGCTAAGGGTTATGTTCCATGAGAGATAATGGGGACTGAACCAGATGACACTGCAGGACAGGAGGACTAGGGGCAATATGTTAACGTACAAAATATTGAGTGATAGAATGAATAGAGGCAGATTGTTTGAGAGATGGGGAACAGGAAAACGAGGGCATAGCTGGAAGTTGAAAACCCAGATGAGTCATAGGGATGTTAGGAAGTATTTCTTCGGCCTTAGTCGGGAACCAGAGAATGAAGTGGTAGAAGTAGGATCCATACATAACCTTAAGAAGAGGTACGACAAGGCTTTCGAAGCCTTGTCGAAGCCTAGCAGATGGGAGGCCAGGAGCTGTGACTTCACCCCTGCAAACAATTAGCGAGTACGTGCACGGCGCGCGCGAACATGACTTGGAGAGTAAAGTATCTTTGAGATTTAGTCTCTTCTGTATTATTTATGTATTACTGCACTGATTGGTGTAATGTATGTTATAGTTTGTCGAGATAAACAAACCTACATACTGTAAAATTAATTAAGCTTACATATATGTCTTCAGAATCATTGTAAAAATTACCTTAATTCTGTATAATCATTTGTAGATATAAACTAGGTTAATTGATGTTAACCAAACCTAAATTTTGTTTGTTTGAAAGATAATCGAGGGAAACTGTCGATGACCTTTTATAGTAGATTACCATTTTGTCTTCGAACTGGACCTGCCTCTTAGGCAACCAACCTCATTCATAAGCGCTCTCCCATAAATAAAACGATAATAATTCCTAGCGTTACATGGTAACAATGTCTATATTTTTAAAGCTACCCAAGATGGTAGTAAGTCTGTCCAGCTGTTGACTCCGCAAAAAATGATGCCTTGATATTGGCGAGGGGCTCTTGATCTAAGGAGCTGGATTTTTCGTTTGTTGGAACCTGAATGCCTTTTACTCCCCAGGCGATGACCTACTGATTTAGCGCTTTCCCTGATTAAAATTAATAAATATAGAGCTTTTAAGACTAGAGTGTATTTGGTCAGTATTGTCCAGAATTGGGACATGTTGGGGGATTGTATTCTCACACCAGGTCGAAACTGCTATAGGAAATACTCAAATGTTCTGTCAAGTCAGCAGTCTGGGTACCCAGTGCGCCACATATAGCGAATTGTAGAACATAAATATGGTAGACATAAAACAGTGTTTTCAATCCCCGAAAACACTCACAAACTCATGTATGATTGGTCCTCGGCTCTCACAGACTGGGATCGATTTCTGACGCGGGCGAAACGTTGGGCATGTTTCCTTATACCTCAAGTTCCTGTTCACCTGGTAGTATGTACCTGAGGGTTAGTCGACTGTTGTGGGTCACATCCTGAGAAGATTAAAGGACCCCAATGGAAATGAGATACTGTCCCAGATAACACACTTATTGGGTTATTCTGGGTGGTTAGCTCCCGTCCAGAATCTTATCAAATTTAGCTTTCAGATGCAAACTATTAAATTTAAGGAGGCAAACGTTGCAAGATATTGATACATTAATGGCATACACAGTTTAGACCATAATCACCTGTTGCTCCTACATAATGTGAGGCTAGCTTTTGACCTCTACCTTAAACATGATCGTTAAGGCATGAATATATATCCAGCCTAACCACTTTGGCTTGAATTCTTCGTAGACTTGTTCCTTTTCATGTGTTGATCATGTTTCATCTGCTGCTAATAATAAGTATTACTAAATGCATTAATAAATAAATTCTATACGACTCAGGATTAGATACGGCTGTTAAAATATTGAACAATATAAGGAAGAAAATGCCATGACTCAGGTATAGCAGACACTCGAAATAGTCGGTGAGTAAGCGCAGCAACAAGAATGTCTTAACCACACTAATACGTCCCGCCGGGGAGCAGAATCTTCATCCACCTCTGAAGTGTACAGCGGGTGTTTCTGACATGTTTAATTCAGTAGTACTTATCTAATGGCGCAGTGTATGTGGTGGCGCCCTGTCGAAAGCATTAGTTATTTTTACCAACTCGTATTGTTCTTGGACAACGTTCCACCTACAGGTAATAAGAATACGAAAATAATTTTATATGAACTGTTACGCCCACTGTACAAAGATGCGTTGGGAAATACTAACGGAAACAATAAACAATTTAGCTAAATATTGTCTTCACTAAACAGACTCTTCTTAGTATTTAATAAGATTTCAGATCAGCCTTTAGCTTTGTAAGTTTGGGTGTCTGAGATGAAGCAGCAGGTAACTACTTTACGTAGATAATGACGTCATGTAAACACAGGGATTCCTCCTGAAATTCTCTTGTCAAACAAGCATGGCGTCTGGCCTGTCATCCCTTAGAACATCGTTCACAGCTCTTATATTGTGTTCACATTCGTTACTCTTGGTCTCTCCGGGACCTGCGAATTTGGTAGGAACGAAGTCTTGCGAGAAGCGTGTTTTGGTAGTCGAGGTCTAAATTTGGCCCATTGCGAAAAAATAGTGGCACGTGTTTAGAGGGCAAGGGTGGGTGATTGATAGTGGGATGATACGGGTGAGCTGGAGCTAAGAGGTGAGGGAATGCACTTACACAATGGCTGTTATGAGTATACTGTATGTGTGTCCTCACCTAATTGTGGTTTTATGGGTCGATTCATAGCTCCTGGCCCCGCCTCTTCACTAGTCGCCACTAGGTCCACACACTCCCTACTTCATGGACTTTATCATACCTCATCTTAAAGCTATGTATGGTACCTGCCTCTAGTACCTCACTTTCCAGACTATTCCACTTCCTGACAACTCTGTGATTGAAGAAATACTTCCTAACATCCCTGTGACTCATCTAAGTCTCACCTATTTGTGTGTGTGTGTGTGTGTGTGTGTGTGTGTGTACACTTATCTATTTTGTGTGTACTCATCTGTTTGTGTATGTGTACTCGCCAATTTGTGTGTGTGTGTGTGTGTGTGTGTGTGTGTGCGTGTGCGTGTGCGTGTGTGTGTGTGTGTGTGTGTGTGTGTGTGTGTGTGTGTGTGTGTGTGTGTGTGTGCACTCTCCTATTTGTGTGTGTGTGTGTGCACTCTCCTATTTGTGTGTGTGTGTGTGTACACCTATTTGTACTCGCCTATTTGTGATTGCAGGGGTCCAGTCGTAGCTCCTGGGCCCGCCTCTTCGCTGGTCGTTACTAGGTCCACTCCCTGCTCCAAGGGCTTTATCGTACCTCCTCGTGTATGTGCGGGGTGGGGGAGAGACATTAACAAATTAGAAGACTCCCTACTGTCCGTTTTGATACGTTAAAGGTTAATGGTTTGCGAGAGCGAAGGGACGAAGTAGCTAGGAGACTTCGCCTATCCCTGAGGGTTAGAGCAGCTGTGCTATATACTAGGCGTGTGCGGTGATAATGGTGAGACTTCGCTCTATATCCGGCGGTGGGATGAGTTATGGAGCCAAGTGCACGGTGATCTGCAGCTCAGGTTGCCTACTCGCTGCTACATATTTATTTACTGTCGCTTTAGATGACGTATTTTATTTTACCATGATGTTATTTCTAATGGCTGGATCGATATCTGTTAACTGCGCCAGATCAATAATTGTTACCCGGATTCTACCTGGAGAGGTTGCAAGGGGTCGAGACCAGGTCTCCCGGTGGGTGGTTTGATCAACCAGTCTGTTGGTGCTAGCTGTATGAGGTTCAGCGTAAGCTCCACAACCCGACTGATCATGAACCGACTTGAGAAGCTACCTACCTGGAGGGTGTTATGGGAGTCACCCCCCCCCCGTCCGCTACCGAGACCTTGATCAGGTCTTCCCGTGGATCAGGGCCTGATCAACCAGACTGTTACTGGTGGCCGCACGTAGCCCAGCGTGCGAACCACAGCCCGGCTGGTCGGGTACTGACTTGAAGGCAGCCAGGGGTCTATTGGCAGTTCCCTTTATGCCCAGTGGGAGGCTTGTTGTATGGTTATGTAGGCATACAAGCCGCTGGCAGCAACAGCCCTGTTGACTAAGCAGTTGATGCAATTTAGCCACATGCCGGACTTGGAGAGTAGAGTTTACGGAGAGTTACAGGTGTGTACAGTATTTGGTGGGTTATTCCTGGCACTAAATACGTGTTTTCTACTCTGACATTTACAATCTACATATTTTGGTATTTTGAATGCTGCCATCTTGTGGCATGCGTCTGAATTTATTTGATATTTGAATTAGTGATATTTTTCGACATAGTAATTATTGACATTATTTCTGCGAAACTCAAAAGTTAACAGTACCAGTGGTTCAAGTTAACAGTCAGTACCAGTGGTTCAAGTTAATTAACAGTCAGTACCAGTGGTTCAAGTTAATTAACAGTCAGTACCAGTGGTTCAAGTTAA